CAATGTAGCCAACAGGAAGTAAGGAGAACTGAATGAAAGTACAACATGATAGTGGGACAGAAAGAATGTACAAGGAAATAGAGGAAAGAAGTAGGAGGCAAAGGACATGTATAGAGATATAAATATAGACATGTACATATGTAAATATATTAATATATAATGATAGGGGTATACATCTAGGTACATATCTTTTTATGTTAAGTTGTAAGGTAGCAGATGACATTGGTCCTATACTCCAGTGTTCTCTGTGCAAGAACATTTTGTTCTAATAACCTGGCATTCTGTGATGGACACCTTCCTGATACAATTGCTGAAGTCAAAATGGTTGCATAAGAAAATGTGGTGAAGAAAGCTGATGGTGTCCAACTATCAAAATATATAGTGACTGGGTCTTAAAGGCTTGAAGATAAACTAGTGGTCATCTAGCATGGAAGCAACAAAGCCCACATTGACAAAGCACATGAAACTGTGCAATCACGAGGTGTCGACGGGATCAGGTATTAGGCATCAGAAGACCCCAAACAAGCACTTTGATGCAAATGAAGGGGGTCAGATGGAGACCCCAAGCCCATCTGTAGACAATTGGACATCCCTTCACAGAAGGATCACAAGGAGGGGATGAGTTAGCCAGGGTGCAGTATACCACTGATTAAACATACAACATTCCTCTAGTTCTTTAATACTTCCTCCACCTCCCACTATAATGACCCAAGTTCTACCTTACAAATCTGGCTACACTGAGGATGTACATGGCACAAAAAAGATCTCTTGACACACAGAATCCAGGACAGATAACCCTCTCAGGAAAAATAATGGGCGTAGGGATACCATGAGTGTAGGAGGAAGGTGGAAGGAGAAGGGGGAGAAAAGAGAGGACAGATTGCAATGATGGACATTTAAATCCCCACCTCCCCACCAATACTATCAGGTGGATGAACAACAGAAATGTTGGGAAAGGAAGACAGTTAATGGTGTAAGATATGAAAATAATAATAATGTATAGTTTATCACGGTTTCGTGAAGAAAGGAGGGTATGGGAGGGAAGGAAATAAGAGGAGCTGATACCAAAGGTTCAAGAAGAAAGAAAAGGTTTTGAAAATGATGATTGCAACATACGTACAAATGTGCTTGATACAATTGTTATATGGATTGTTGCAAGACCTGTAAGAGCTTCCAATAAAATGATTTATTAAAACACACACACACAACACAAATGGATACAGGAAGAAAATGTTTCAAAGTTGATTGTGGTGATGATTGTAGAACCCTTCTTAATATGATTAAGCTACTGAATTCTATAATAGTTAATTATAACTAAATGAAGCTAGTAAATGTTTTATCCTAAGTATTGCTTTCTGAAAAAGGTTAATTTTATTTTATGAGTTAGGGGAAATGACTTAACTGAACATTCCCCACATAACCTCTATCTCCTCTTTTTGGATGTGCAATTCTCTTTTTTTCTACTAGTCTTGGATGTGTAATCATAAATGAGGAAAATTTACTAATCTTGATAATTTTTCTAATACTTATTTCCCAAATATATATATTGAAAATGAGAACATCAACATTCAGCTCTGAGGAATTGTCCTTGTATAATAAGAGAGGTCTCAGTGTTTCTAAGGACTAGTCTGTCACTCAGATTGATTTTTGTGTTCTTCCTATTCTCATCGAAGAAGGAAACTCGGTGACCGTAATGTAGCAAGGACTGGGAGAAAAAAGAGCATCATTCCATAATGATATCTTAACACAGACAAAAGATGAAATTGTCCCCCCCTTCATACTATCAAATAATCTTCGTTTTTATATGGGTGGTTCCAGTTTCTTTACCACTAACTCTTTTAGCCTCACTTTTTAGTCTTCCTTCCCTACAAATTATATCTATGCAAATACTACATCACAAAACCCCCTTTTTTTACTACTTCTATTCCAAAGTGAATTTTAATACCCTTAAGTTTCCCTCCACCCGTCCCGCTCCACCCCAAACACCCAAACAAACTGTATTAGTCTGGATAGACTAGAGAAACAAATCTACAGAAACTCATATGTTTATAGGAGAGTTTTCTATAAAGGATAAGTGTACATTAAGAAAGCATCACAACCCAGCTCAGTCCAAGCCCATAAGTCCAACATTAGCCCATACATCCGACACTGATCTACAAAGTCCTCCTCAATCTCACAAAACACACACAATGACGCTGAATGCAGGATAATCACAGGCCAGTGGGTAGAAAATCTTTGAATCCAGTGGCAGTATAAGCATCTCAGCACTGGAAGGGGTCTCCATGCAGCTTCTCCAGCATCCAGGGTAGGTCCACATGGCATCTCCTCAGGGATGTCTCACAGGAAGTGAGCCTTGCCAGCTGAGGCAGAGAACAAGCTAAGGCACACTGGTCGAACCATCAGAGAACAAGAGACAAGAAAGGCGAGAGTCGCGGAGCCATTTACCTCTCCCCCCTTCAATTAGTCCCACATGTGTTCATTGGCCAGGTTGGCACAATAAACCTACCCTATCACACAAACCCAAATTCTTTATAATTATTTTTCTAACTTTTTCTTATTGAGATATCCCATGTTTTCACATAGCATGTACATTCATCCTCAGAGCAACAAGTAACAAACCCAACTTGTGAAACTAAACATTCATTTCTGGTGGTTTTAGAGGTAAATTACTCAGTCCTTCTTCCAAGTCTGTTCTTGAGTGGTAAGCTCTGCTGGTTCTCTTCACCCTGTGGGTGATCCTACGATTTTGTGGGGGGAAGTGGCATCACCTCAATCACCACAGTACAGCAAGCTGACAGATGAGTCATCATCATTTAAGTAGCTCTCTTGTTAAAATGGCTGGTTTTTTAAAGTTATGCAATTTAATTTCATTATTAGAATATTGGATAAAATTGATCATTAATTCTTGCTAATAATTATATCTCTTGTCTTATGAATTTTGTCATATCTTTCCCATTAACCTGGCATGGACTAAGTATTGATAAATATTAGTAGGCTTCACTTTTATTGAAGATATTAAAGCTTTCTCTGTCATGTTTAAGGAGCCTTAGCATTGGGCCAGTGGAACAATGAAATCACTAGTTGAAACCTACCGGCTGTTGTGTGGAGAAAGATGAGGCTACCTGCTCCCTTAAAGTCTGACAAGCTCTAGAACCATATATAGGGTCTAAGGCTAAATAGATATGATGGCGCAAGTTCGGTTTGAGATATGGCCTGGCATATTTTGAAATTCATGTGTGGGACAAACACTTGGCAGTGGTTAGAGGTTTGAACCCACTGAAAGGTGACGAGGAAAGATGTGATGACTTACTTCTCAAAAAGCAATCAAGAAAATCCATATAGAGCACATTTCTATCACGACACATGTGGAATCACCAATATTTCATCGCCACTTGACAGCACTGGTATACCAAGTTTTAATAAAAGTTTTAGAATATTCATTTAAGTTTCATAATTTTTCTGTATAGAAAAACATTTAATTGTTTCTTTATTCATATCCACTTTTCTTTTCTCAATATTTTTGCAAACTTTAGAGGAACCATTTAATAAGTGATGTATAATTCAGTATTGTTTGCCCTATTAAGTATTTTGCTAATAATTTACATTTAATGATTAAATTGATTCATAATTTAGCAAAGATTCTTACTGGATTACCAATGGGACCCTAAATCTCAAGACGTCTATAACATAATCCTGAAGGGATTTGCCTCCCTTTAGCCTAGAGAACTCAAGAAGTTATAACACACCCACCCCTGTGTCTTGAAAAGAAACAAGAGGCCACAATTAATAAAGAGGACACTGGACACAAGAAACCACAGGTAAGATTTCTCAGAGAATTAGCAGAGGGAAAAAGAGGATTGGTAACCGTTGTTTGATGAGGTAGAGGGATAATAGAGGTAATTCACTTAGAATGGTGCCAAAATGTTGAAATCATTCAGTAAATGTGATTTTACTCATCTAGGCTGTTGCAATAGAATTATAACTGGATCCTCTCTTCCTTCATTCACTCCTTTTCCAGGCAGCTGTTTTTGGCATCCAATTGTGTAAGTATGTATGTGTGAGTGTGTGCACACATATACTCCTCCCACTACCATCAAGTCTATTCTGACTCACAGTAATAGCAACCTTATAAGACAGGCAGAATCCCCCTGTGGGTTTCCAAGACTGTAGCTCTTTATGGGTGTTGAAAACCACGTTTCCTCTGCAGATCAGCTAGTAGTTTTAAACTGCTAACCTTGCAGTTATCAACCCAATGTATAATCACTATACCACCAATCTGTGATATATGCACATCTCTGTGATATATATATGTATATGTGCTATATGTGTGTGTATACATATATATATGTATATATATATCACCAATCTGTGATATATATACAGATGAAATATCCATATCCATCCTTATGAAAATAAAATAGAAAGTATTGTTAGAATTAAAATAAGGACTAACATGAGGAATAATGATTTCAATATATCATAAAGTAGATGACATTGAAAGAGATATCTATACATTTGGGAAAAAATTCAAACAGAGGAGAACATTGTTAGAAAAATCAAAGGATAATTCAGAAAAAGATCTAAAATATAAAGACCTGGAAAAGAGTAAGAAATAAATACTAGACATTGCTTTTTCAATAAAGAGTTAAGGTATCCTTCTGTGACTAGTACCAGTAGTGTGGTTAGCTGGATAGATAGATTTCAACTCACTGAAAACTAAAAGGAAGTACGCTAATAGAAAAAATGTTAAAAGGTGTTTCCAACAAATTAATCTATATTGAGACATGAGGGAAAATCCCAGTGTAAGAGTCACCTCTGAAGGGATGGTTCGGACAGGTCCAATATGGTGTTCTTCAGTCTTCCCTTAGGTATGCCCAACAATTCTGAATGGATTTTTTAATTGAACTTAGTGGGAAAAGAGAGTTATAGTTACTAATGAGAGTATATATTTTTCAATCTCCTTAAAAAAGACGCTGAATCTGAAACTTCATATATTGGTCATGTATCAAATAAATAATACCACCCACGACTCCTTCTTCTTCATCTTCATGGGCATCCCTGGATTTGAGGCCTATCACATCTGGATCTCCATCCCCTTCTGCTGTGTCTACACCATCTCCATCATGGGCAACACTACCATCCTCACTGTCATCCACAAAGAGTCGTCTCTCCACCAGCCCATGTACTTATTTCTCTCCATGCTGGCCCTGACTGACCTGGGTCTCACCCTCACCACCCTGCCCACAGTCATGCAGCTCCTCTGGTTCAACTTTAATAAGATCAGCTTTGAAGCCTGTTTTGCTCAGTTCTTTTTCCTGCATGGGTTTTCATTCATGGAATCCTCTGTCCTGCTGGCCATGTCCTTTGACCGCTATGTGGCCATCTGTCGCCCACTCCATTATGCCTCCATCCTCACCAATGAAGTCATTGGCAAGATTGGGGTAGCCATCATTTGTCGCTGTGTTTTTGCTGTTCTCCCTTCCCTTTTCCTGCTTAAGCGCCTGCCCTTCTGCCGCTCACACCTTCTCTCTCACTCCTACTGCCTCCACCAGGATATGATTCGTCTGGTCTGTGCTGACATCCGTGCTAACAGCTGGTTTGCACTTGTGGTGGTGATGCTCATTATTGCAATTGATCCATTGCTCATTTTGCTATCTTACACATTTATCCTGAAAAGTATCTTGGGGACAGCTACCTGGGCCGAGAGACTAAAGGCCCTCAATAACTGTTTGTCCCACTTTCTAGCTGTTTTGGTGCTGTATGTCCCCATGGTTAGTGTATCTATGACTCACCGCTTTGCTAAGCATACTTCTCCACTGGTCCATGTGGTCCTGGCCAATATCTACCTGTTGGCACCTCCTGTCATGAACCCCATCATTTACAGTGTAAAGACCAAGCAAATTCGCCAAGGAATCTTTCACCTCCTTTTCCAGAGGAAAGGGCACTAAAGGTTGGGTTTTAAATTAACAGCAACACTTTTATTTGAGTAACAAGAAGGCACAGACAAAGACCACTTTTTTTCAATATGTAAACAAAATAGAGCTGGGGGGTGGGTTTGTTGTTATTTTATGTTCTGTCAGAAACAAATGGCAGCATTATGTATAGCAATACCATATTGTGATACTTAATGTTTTTTGTGCAACCTTGGCAGATAAACACATGTGGGATTAATCGAAGGGCGGAAAAATAAATGGCTCAGTGAGCCTTGCCTTTCTCATTCTTGGGTCTCTTGTTTTCTGATGGTCGGACCAGAGTGCAACTGCCTTAGCCAGTTCCCTGCTTCAGTTGGCAAGGCTGACTTTCTGCATGACATCTCCAAGGAGAAGTCGCATGGACCTACCCCGATACAGCTCTGGTGCTGGAGCAGCTGTGTGGAGACCCCTGCCAGTGCTGAGATGCTTACACACTCACTGATCTGGCTTTCCTCCTCCAGTCAGCATCACTGCGTGTGTTTCGTGAGACTGAGGAGGACTTTGTAGATTGGTGTTAGACATATGGGCTAATGTTGCACTTATGGGCTTGGACAGCACTTGGTTCGGATGTTTTCTTGATTTGCACTTACCCTTTACATAAAAATCTCTCTTATACCTACGAGTTTCTGTGGATTTGCTTCCCTAGTTTACCAAGAGTAACACAAATATGTTGCCAGGTTTTGCAACATCGAAATTTGTGGTATAGTTAGTCCATTGTTCTGATTACAGGTGTGTCCATTTTGTGGTCATTTTTTCTTAAGTTTGTTGACATTATATTTCACTGAAAATAGAGACTGTTCTGGCTTTAATATAAATAAACAGACTTGACAATTCCTTGACCAGAAATTAAAAGAGGTTGTTTTGGTTTGTCCTTAATCCAGAATTGCACTTAGTTAGCCATAGGAATTTGAGAGGAAAATCATCTTAAAATAGAATTCAAAATCCTATCTCTGTTAGGACACTGTAGTCGCTGCAACAATGAGCTCAAGTAGGAATGGTTATGAGAATGATGCAGGACTGAATCCTCAAGAGGAGATAAATATGGAAGCAACCTCCTCTAAGCTACGTGAAGGAAGGGCAAAAGTGGTGTTCTGAGATCTATTCTTAGTTAAGCCCTAAAACTCTTTGGATAGAAGTTAAAACAAATAAGTTAAAGAAAAAATTATTTACAAAGAAGAGTATTGCTCCTGTTTCTGGTTGGTTTTAACAGAGACCCTAAAACTGAAATCTTATTCATTATGTCCCAGACAATGGACACTACTTGAGACGCCCTCTTCTTCATCCACATCCTTGAATGTGAGGATTCTCAAACCATCAATCCGTTTCTTTGATTCTACATGAATTTTATTTTGTGCAACAGTATTATCCTGTAATGTGCACAGAGTTATCTCTCCGTTGACCTACAGTTCTGTTTCTTTCCTGACTGACCTAAGTCTTATCCTCAATACCAGAACAACATATCAGGAAATTTACAAATTCTCATTCCTACCACTTTTGAGAGTCAGGAAAGTCCTCTTAGAAGAATAAAAATCATTTTGCTCCCAAAACCATTTACAATCTGTTTCATCCACCTGTTAGCTGTTAAAATTGTCACATGCAACACATCTGTATGGTCAATTAGCATTTATGTGTGGCCCCCTTGATTTCAGTATCTCTTTAATGAGGTGGATTGACATAATGGCAGTCACAACGGATTTAAACATTCCAAAGATTATGGAAAGGGCACAAGGTAGGCAAGTTTCATTCGTTATGGATAAAGTTTCCATGAGTCACAGGTGCCTTGATGTTAGCAAAGAACAAATGATACATGTATAAACTTCTCTGGGAGCTTGGGTATATGTGAGGAGCTTCAAATTGTTCATGAAAATATTCCATTGTCTTTTTGTTCCTTCTGCTCACATTTTTTATCTATTTCAGGGTAAAACAAAGAAGTCTCAAATCTCAAATATAGTTAAAGAAAACATTTATTAAATCTTAAGAACAAAGACAAGACAAAGATACACCATTAGGATGAGGAACCTTATTAACATGAGGCCAAAATGTTGCCAGGATTGACATTCAGGACACAACTTAAAGAAGGCATGGAACAAATTCATGTCATGATTTCATGATTGTGACAGATAAGTACATCATAGTTCTAGGTGGGACTACAGAAACAGGAACAGGACCATGACTGGGATACATACATTATGTAAGAAGAGTTACAAGATTTGCCCAGGGCCTTCTGAATGAGGCTGCAGGGCAAGACTGATAGGGCATAACTCATGACTATGTGACTCTCAGTTCGGCCCACCAAGGATACACTCAGGCAAGACCCTAAGGGAGACTGCCCCTCTATGGGTTGGCTGGAGCCTTGTAGATGTAATCTATTTCCCAATGCATTCTGCCTTAGGGCAAGTTTGTTCTCATCACGAGTTCATGATCCAAAGGAGCTCAGTGGACGCTTTATCCATGTGGGAACTCTGAAAATGTGTTATGGGCTTTCACTGCCATCCTCTGTCCATAAAATGTAGGGCACAGAATTTTAACTATAATATAAATCCCTATATATATACATATCCAAGTTCATCATAAACATAGCAGATTACTATATGATATTTACTATTTTATCTGCCATCCATAAATGAAATTTCATGTCTTTAAATCCATAGAATTTATTAAATGAAAAAATACTAAAAGATAACTTCAAGTTTATTATTCTATTTTACTACTATTTCTTATTCTAAACACAAAACCAAACCCACTGTCATCAGTCAATTCCAACTCATAGTGAGCCTGTAAGACAGAATAGAATTGCTCCTGTGGGCTTCCTACACTGTAATTATTAACAGAAATAGGAAGCCTAACATGGTAGTTTTGAACCACTGACCTTGTGGTTAGCAGCCCAAAATGTAACTACTCTGCTCAATTCAACCAATAACCTAGCACTGTCTAACACAGGTAGGAAGGATATAGTTCTCTAGAAAACCAAACCAAACTCACTGCCAGAAAAAAGCGAAAGTAATAGATATTTCATTTAGCCCATTATATCTAAATTGTTATCACTTTAATATACAACCAGAATAAAAATATCTTAATGAAATGTCTTACATATTTTCCTTCTAATTTTTCTAAGTTTGGTGTGCAGTTTATATTTATATGGTATTTCCATTTGAACCTGCCAGATTTTTAATTCTAAGTACCCATGGGTGAATGGGACAGCTCTAACATTACAGAACTAAAATATGTATGACCTAGTTGCCTTTTCAATTGTGCAAATTTATAGACCCTGAAAGAGTCATAAAATGGGTGAAAAGTTTGCTATATAATATTCTAACATACATTTTTTAAAACACACAATTGTCATTTTAGATTTTTCTAAATCTGTCATATTTAATACCATAAAAAAATATCCAAACTCACTGCCATCCAGTCAATGATGACTCATAGTGAATCCCCTCTGAGTTTCTGAGACTATAACTATTTAAGGAGTTGAAAAACAAGTCTTGCTCCCGCAGAGCTGCTAGTGGTTTTGAACTGCTGACCCTAAAGGCCACAGCCCAATGTGTAACCACTAGACCACCAGGGCTCTCTCATAAACACTTCTGAAAAATTAAAGAGTTTTAGTCATAACTACCTGGACCACTCTCAGAGAATGGTTACTAAGCAATCATGTCCCCTGAAAAGATGATTTCCATGACAAAAGAAGGAACAATGAATAGAATCTGCGGAACTTCTTGCAAGATGGTGCCTGGGGAAGCAGCTCATGTTGGGAGATCTACAGAGATCAGTGAGTCTGGTGATCAGGAAGTCCATTGAGGATCTGGGTCTGATGGTTAATATCTGTGGCAATCTGGAGTGTGTTAGTCTGGGTCCATTAGAGAAAGAAATCCACAAAAACTCATATATAAGAGAGAGTCTTATATAAAGGTTAAGTGCTCATGAAGATAACATCCCAACCCAGAGCTGCCCAAGCCCACAAGCCCAACATTAACCCATTAACCGCTATGTCCAACACTAATCCACAAAGTCATCCACCATCTCACAAAACAGATGCAATTATGCCAAATGCGGGAGGAAATACAAGTCAATGGATCTGAGCACTAGCAGGGGCCTCCACATGGGTGCTCCAGCACCCAGGGCTGCATTGGGATTAGTCCATGTGGCTTCTCCTCAGGGATGTCTTGCATGAAGTGAGCCTGGCCAGCTAAAGCAGGGAACTGGCTAAGGCAGCTGTACCCTGGTCTGACCATCAGGAAGCAAGAGACCCGAGAACTAGAAAGGCAAGGCTCATGAAGCCATTTATCCCTTTGCCCTTCAATTAACCCCACATGTGTTTATTGGCCAGGTTGGCACAATAAACTAACTACTTCATGGAGCTCTTCCCCATCCATAACAATAGATAAGGATGGGCACCAAATAATGCTCAATGGATCAGTAGACCAAGATCCGTCAGCATAATAAATATATATGCATCCAACAAGAGACCCCCAAAACTCATCAAACTGTCCAAAAAATGAAAAAAAGTAATCACAGTCTCAACAGTCATAGTAAGTGACTTTCATATACCACTATCCAAGGAAGATAAATCACTTAGAATGAAGCTTATCAAGGAAGCTGCAGAAAGAACTAAACTCTATAATTAGGCAACTCAACCTGATAGACATTTTTAAAGCTCTCAACATAAATGCAGGAAATTCACACTTTCCAAGCACACATGGCACATATTCAAAAATAGACCACATGCTGGATACAAGTTGGACCTGAGTAAATTCAAACACATAGAGGTCACTCAGATTTCCCTCTCTGACCACTACACCATAAAACTGGAAATCAACAAAACAATGATGAAGAAAAAAAGGGCAAACAATTGGAGAATGAATAACTCTTCTGCAAAATGAGTGGGTACTGGCCCCAAATAGAGACAATATTTTGGAAGTTTTTAGAAACCAATGAGAATACAAGGTACCAAATCTTTGGGACACTGAAAAAGCAGT